TGGAACTATAGAACAGACCCGCCGACCGTTCCAATTACCAAGGCCAACGCCCTATGAGGGCTTCTCTGGGCTTGAGAGTTCAGGGTGTTTGCTGCAGGTCTTCGTTCTTGTTTGGTCTGAATGTTCTTCTACGTTGCTTGATTTGAAGGGTACTAGTTTACTAGTGCATGACTCATTGAAGGTTTTCTGGTTTGGGGCATGTGCGCTCAATATCGGTCAGTAGCCAGGTAGAAAGCCCTAAACCTTACAGTCCTCAGCCGTAAACCCGAGAGGCTTAAACCTGAGGCCCGAAGCCCCATTTCAGCTCAAACACCGAAGCAGGCTTCAGGAGCTGTGCAGGAATCGTTTCACCCGTTTTCAATTCCGAACTTGAGCAATGCCTTCTGGGCATCGCCTTCGGAGTCCGCTTTCTTTCGATGAAGTCGAAGGAGCCGCCTTTGCCTTGCCTTGCTCGGTTCAGGCTTCGTGGCTTAAAGGCTTTCGAGGGCCCACGCGGGTTTCTTCTGGTTTGCTAGGGCATGTTTATTAGGGTTCAGCCATCTTAAAGCAGTGCCAGGGCTTCATTCATGATCCTTTCAGACAAAACGGTGGCCAAGTGATGTTGGAGTGTCTGGGTTTGTGGCACAAGGTTTCAGCTCTGAGCAGACGGGCCGCGGGCTGGGATCTTGGCGGTTAGGGATGGTTGGATGCCGAGCCCTAATCCGAAACTTCCTGCATCATTGACTTGGAATGTAAGGCCGCGCAGGTTCTCCGAGATTTTCGGGGCTGTGCAAACGGAGAGGTTCTATACCGGAACCCCCCCAACCCGAAGACCCCAAACTGCTAAACCTGTCACCCAAAGAAACTAAATCCGAGATTCGAAACCTAAACCCGATTGCGGGTTCTTATATTCAGCTTGAATCCAATCGGCTACGGTTGTCAGCTTTCTTGTCAGCTTTCTGATTGCAGGGCATTTCATGTGAACTTCTCAGTCATAAACCCTGAGATGCAAAGCCCTTCGCATCGAAACGCGCAGACGTAAGCAGGAGCAGCTAGTTCGCTGCGCGGCACGACAACTCGGCAGTTGCTGACTGGTTTCTTGGCTTGGTGCTTCGGGTTTCTTTCGTTTGGACTGCAGGTCTCTGTGCTCGTGCCCGAATGGGTTTGGGTTTGCAAGAGGCCCGGCAGCTTGGTTAGGTGACCTGCGATTCCAAGCCGTGATGATGATGATGATGGTGATGATGATGATGATGATGATGATGGCATTGGTGCTAGCGAGTGCAATCCTGATGTTCTCGAGTGCCGACGATGGTGCAGCACCGATGCTCATCGACCTCCCAAAGGAATATGGCTCTGGGTTCGGGTGTCTGGTCTTGGGGTTTCAGGGTTTAGAGTTCAGATCTTGTGAGGTTGCAATCCCAGGTTTTGCAGTTCAGGCTTTGTGAGCTTGTAGTCCCAGTAGTCGTCTTGGGGACATGCGCTTCGAGGCCGTGCGGCTCAAATGCCCAAGGCTTGTTCCTCTGCGTTCTGACGGTACGTACTCTTTATTCACCTAGAGTTTTTGTCACTCTGCAGACATGAACCCTGGACTTCATGTTAGCTGGTAACATGGGCACACAAGCTAGCCGGCATAAAGAATCACTGAATGGTGCCCCGTGCTTCGATTGGTTGAACTTGCGAAATCGACTTTCAATCTTTGAACGGCTTCAGGTTTTGGACATGTTGGTATGCGCAAGCGGGCGGGCGTGAACAAAAATCATCCAACAAAAACTGTCGAACTTGCAAGCATTCAATATCATGCAATCTTTCCAGCTCCAGTGGCTGCTTGGAGCTCATTCTGCAAACTGCAGCGGTGTCCGAGGTTGATCGGCGCGAAAAGTTGGGAACAAAAGCATCGAGTTAAAGGATTTTGAGACGTCATGAAGTTCCCAAAGCTTGAGAATTCGATTGTTGTTGAGTTCGAAAGCTTCCAAATTTTAAATGTAGACAACATAGCGAGCCTCGACATTTCTCAAGCTTCGAGTTACTCTCGCGGCTCGCTGAGAGAGGCTGGAGTTTCGAACGGTTGAAATTTCAAAGCGTGAGCCTGAAAGTTTGACTGGCATGAGAGTTCGCGAGCTCGAAGGTTTGGAAGATTGAAGGTTCGAAGCGCGATGAGTTCGACAGTGTGACGGTCCGCCGAGATCCGAGTTTGAAGTTTGGGAGTTACAGCTCAATTTCTTGAATAGTTCAAATTCTCAGACAGTTCGTGGATTTAAATCCAAATGATCAAACGTTGAAGTGCTCGATCGTTCAAGCTCCCTGCTACTAAACTTATCTCCAGGTATCCGAAACTCTCAACTGATCGGACTTTCAGGCTTCAAACTCCGCTCTGCCCTTCAAGTGCGAACCCCGCGGACGTCGCGTAGACCTACCCGAGTCCCTCGCTATCACGGCTCTTTCAGGCAGTCAAAGTGAACTTCCTATCAAGACACGGTTTTCTAATGTGAATATATATATATATATATATATATATATCGAATATTTCTGCATCGGCTTCAAAATAGGATACTTGACTGGACCCTGCACTGCGCATCATAAGTCTATCGAATTCACGGCACCACAGCTCCAAAATCTAGCTTTATGAAGCCTTAATTAAGCCCTCAAATGGCTTCAACTGATTGAATTTCCTATCCTCTTGAGCCGTAAACTCTGAAAAGCCTGTTCTCGAAGGATGGAAACTCGCTGAGAACCGTGAAGCCCGCATCATTTCAAAGCCCCGAAACCTGCAACTTCAGACTCTATAAGGCACTGTCCACTTTAGTATTATGTTTAGTGTTTATGTTAAGTGCTTATTGTTCCACAATATGTTTAGAACTTCTCAATGTCAGTGCACCCATGTACACCGCAGACAACTTTAGCTAAAGATCGCTGTCAACCAAACCCCAAACCCTTAGCAGCTCGTCCTTCTTGCAAGACACCTAAACGCCTAAGCCTCGAGAGTCCAAGTGCTTAAAGCATGAGCATTACGCAGCGGAGCCCCAAGCCCAAGTCACTGTGTTCAAACCCGGCCTTCCTGTCCCAGGCTTTGGGATGATCTTCAACCAGGACCTTCAAACGCTTCTGGTGGCCGGCGGACTTCACGGCATCCGATTTCCGACGAGGGAGCAGATGCAGAAAGCAGGTGATGCTCTGTTCCTTGACTGAGGTCAGAAAGACTGTGGTCATCATTCGTAGTCGGCACCGTGATTTGTGATTTCCTTTGAGCTGCGCTAGTCGTGTTGCTATTGATGGTGATGATATGAATTTCGAAGATGAAAAGACTTGGAACACCGTTTATGAAAGCAATACAAGAAACACACGGGCAAATATGCAAACTACGAAATAGATATAGAAAGAAGCCCACTGCCCGTCCCAAATCGAACAACTTGTGAAACAAGTCGTGAGGAGTCATGATCAACAAAGCAGACAAAACCGGTTGTGTGATAATTGTATAAGGACTGTACGGAGTAAAAATGCCCCCGCCAACTGCCCGAGGTGTGAATTCAATATGAAGGAACATGATTGCAGTGCGATTTCGACATGACCTCTTTGCACGGCTGGCCAGAGTGAGACCAAGAACCCAGGTCCAGAACCAGACCATTTCAAGTGGTTTTGAATACCTTTCTGATTGTTCAAATCCCGTAGGGAACAAATTAATGAAAGCAATATGAATCCACCGAGGGCTATCCCGAGCCATGCTTTTCCATGTTGTTTCTTCCGAGGTTCATATTTCACCAAAGCTGCTGAAGGAATCGGAGGTTTAAGTGACTTCTCCCAACATTGCTGCTTGGTCCTTGTCAAACAGTCGCAAACTGCGACTGTGTTGTTTTAAGGATCCCCCTTTGACCTCTATTAAGCAAGCTAATTGGTTACAGTTGACTTGGTTCGCCTGTCTGAGGTTCGTCCAACCCAAGACAGCACAACGATATCAAAGCAAAGCGAAGCCTCAATCCTGAAGCTTCTGCGCCAAAATCGGAGCAAGGGTACAATGAGTTGTTTATTGATCCCAAGTGTCGTTCGACCAGTTTTCCAGAACCTTACAGGGCACATTTCAAGCTATATCGAAGCCTCACAGCTTTCGAAGCCAATGAAGCAGTAGAGCATGTGGAAAGCATTGCAAGTCAAGTCGCAGCATCCCCAGGTTTGATGCTTCCGTGGAGACAAACAGCGTGGACCTCTTCATAAGCCATTCTTGGAGCGCAGGTGCTTTTTGAGCTTAGAGCTGCGGGTATTATACAAGCCTGGGCACTGGAAGTTTCGAACCCTAACTTTTGAGGTGCCTGTACAGTTTACACCCAAACTGTTTGGGTGTTGTTGTAGAATTCATCAGAAGAGCTTCCCGTTGAAGTGGCGGCTTTGCGCGTAGTGTTTAACGTAGGTTTCTGATGCAGACACTCCAGGTTCTACATTCCTTTGGAAACCCGGCCGGTTGTAAGTGAGGGTTCCTGCCTTCGGGTAGTTTCTGGGCAGGGTTTTTGCAGCCTAAGGCCCAGGGTTTGAAACTTCGAGTCCGTAATTCCACTCCCCTGCAAGGTTTGGGATGAGGGGACCGGGTAGCCCCAATAATCCCCTCAGATGTCAAAAGCCAAGACACCAGCCTTTAGCAACAGGTCGCTGCGAGAAGTTTCTAGCCCTTTGCTTGTCACCTGGCATTTGTCAGCAGGGTATTCGGCATTGGCAGTTTACGGCGGAAGGTACGTTCACATGCTGTATACCCGGTACAGGTATTTATCGGTATATCACGATTCTTCGTAAGAAGACCAGAACTGAGGCATAAAGGTTTTGGGGTCAAGGGTGAATTTAGTGTTCTAGGATTTCGGATTTAAGATATGGGTTTTCGGACAGGTAAGGTTGTGTTTCGATAGACTCTTTGCACGCATTGGTCTTCAAGCATAACACGGGTTGTCGCTTCGGAAGCCGTAGAGTTCAGCTCCGAAACGTGCGTCACAGTTGACAGGCATTCAGTGCTATGTGGGTCCCTCCGATTGATAGCTCGATCCATGCTGATTGTGGACAATAGGGATATTGTGATTCTGCGACTGATCTGGATTTTAAGGCTTGGGATTTCGGTTTGAGGGTTCAGGGCTTTAGGGCGGACTGAGGTATCTGAACCTTCGGATGGCCGTCGCATGTTGCCTGATCTCTTGGATCTTGGTCGTGACGCTCATGATCTTATTGCATGGTGCGTCTGGCCTTGGGGGCAGTCGCCTTCTCCTGCCTTCCTTTGTGTACCTGCCGATGACCGTGTTTTTCATCGTCTTTTTCTTTGGACAAGAGCTTTCTCTTGGGCAATGGTCTCCATCGATTTGGATAGACAGGTTGTGCATCCATCAGACAGATCTGGAGCTGAAGGCCGAGCAAATCCATTTCGTGCCCACTTTCGTCGTGCGCTCTTCCCGCATGCTCATCCTCTGTGATGGGTCTTACTTTGAAAGGCTGCTAGGCTCTGGAGTACTTCTGTTATCTTCGCTCACATCATGTCAATCCTTGACATGCAGTGGTACAGAACAGTAAACTTACATGAGAATCCAACGTTGTGGTGCAATCTAGAGCTTGCCACTTTTGCTCGACATGGAGGTGTGGAGAAAGTTGACGTGTTGCCACTTTGGCTTGCTCCCTGGCTGCTGTGCAGTATGTTACTGGAATTACTTATAGTGCCTCGATGTGGGACGTTTTGGAGCTTGTGTTTCCCAACTGGAGCGCAGCTTGGGAGACAAAAATCATGGAGCTCGTGGCACCGCTTCTGGGAGACAGCCCAATGATGCCGAAAACGAAGCTTGGCTCCCGCTTCACACAGTGTTTTGTGTATTCCTTATAGGAATCACTATTACATTTTGCCCCCCCCCCCCCCCCCCCCGCAGATCCTCGAGAATCTAGGAATCTAGTTTCTATGTTGAGTCTTTAGAGTCTTTAGCCGCTGGGTTTCAGAGATCATCGAATAACCGGTTCTTGAAAGCAGTTTGGCTTCCCCCTCCGGGCACGCCAGACCGATCTAAGGAAATTTGTCGCCTTTTTTCTCATTTGGATGATATCATCACTGACAACACTCCCGGCACTGATACCCAGCACCTGGGCTGGCTTATCAGAAGCCCGGAGCACTAAACCCAACCCCAAGCCTTTACCAAAACTGCAACGCCGAACCCTGAACCTGAAAATTGAGCACGGCTTGCGATGTAGACATCTGAGCTCGAAAGTGTGCGACCAATATGCCAGGGTAGTCCGGACACCCCGAGTTAACATTGCCCTCGATCATGCTAGCTACTGCTATTTCGTACCAAAGCTCGAGACCTAAAGCCTGGAACCCCAAACCCACATCGCTAAACCCGAATATCGACAGTTACACCCCAAGCCCCATAATTTGTCTTCGTGTAAGTTTAAACTGCAGTGCAGACTGCAAGTTGTGGAAGTTTGCCAGTTTAACGCGCTTGTTGTTACCTGTTTTCCTTCCAACACAGAATCTAAGTTTCGTCTAACCCCGATTCACCAGGTTTCTTCTCCTTCCGCATGAAGATTCGACATCACCAGCTAATCCTGGACTGAAGGGGGAGGGTCCGGGTTTCAGGGATGGAGCAGACCTCGAAGAAGGAGGTGCCGTGACGGTACTGGCCTCCTCGGAAAGAGAGATTTGCAATCGAAACCTTTACCTGGGAGGCTGAGGACTTGAGGGATTTCCTTGGTAGCAGCGGCAGGTGTCATCGGGAAGCGATGCCTAAGGCCCACTTAAGACCTCGTTGTTGCGCGAATAGGTTAATACTTTCCGTCGATGTGGCTAGGATCAAATGGCAAACTTCGACGTCCGGGCGGGCCAAGTGTTCTGAGCCCTCGGATCGCGATGCCATCGAGAAGCAACTGCAGGACGAGCCCGCAAGTCAAGCATCTAGTTTCTCGAACCTCAACGTCTTGCAGTTCAGGAATGGCTTCGGGGTGGTGCCCTTTGGTTTTTGTCTGGCTGTTGGCCTTGGCCTCGCAAACCCGCACAGGCAGGTTCATGGGGCTCAGCATCCCAATCTTCAAAACTCAATCGAAATAGCTGCACCTGACTCCGAAAATGGGATCCGAGAGGCTGAGTGAGATTTGGCGAACTTCATAAGTTTGGCGTCTCGGTTGTTTCCCAGGAGGTTCGGTGTCGGATAGTCCGTTCCAGGGCTTGGAGTTTACATTGCGAGCAGGGTGATGCAACAGCAATGCGAACCCATGGCAGGTTGTAACGATCTGTGCGAAGCGCCAGGTTTTTCGTTTAGCAGGCCGTCCATGTCCAGTTTGAGGAGTTCGGGTTCGGTTTTGTTTCAGGGTCTAGGCTTCTGTATTAGTTAAGTCCTGGGCTTGCCCTTGACTTCGATGTGTTACGGACAGGAATGAGAGCGGTTCCGCGAGTACCAACCACAAACTCTGAATCCTCCGGGAATGTTTCTCTGACGTTCGTCATCTCAGGCATGGGGTGAATATGACACGCTTCTAGGTCCTGGGTGAAGTAAACCATTCAAGCTAACCCCAGGAGATTTTTTGCAACCACGACCTGCCAACTCTCAATTCGGACACCGTGGATGCGGGGGAGGCACGAATCAAGACGCAGTGCAGCAACCTGAAGACTGTCGAGTACGTAGTCGAAGAGTGCTGGCACGGCCCATGTGACTCCGAGCCCTAAAGCCCTGAAGTTCAAAACCAGTACAATGTCAGCGGCTCGTCAGCACTCGAATCTTCGTGCAGGTTAAGGTTGAGCAGCTTGCGGGCTACCAGGCCGCTGGTAATCCGTTGGACCGCTTCAATGTGTACGTTCGAGGCAGAGGGCTCTTCCGCGAATACTGTGGACGAAGCTATTTCTTCTCCAGAAATACTCAGCACACCACTGAACATTATAACTAATCATTTATCAGACAAAACCAATAGTTAGGGGCCACGCTTGCAAAGTTGCGGCTATTCAATGCTGCTTTCTAACCCCTGCAGTTTACAGTCCGCAGATGCAGGCTGACGCTCCCCTGGTTGCTTGCAGCCTACACAATCCCCCTTGCAGTCTTTGCAGTCCTACATTCCTGCGGTTCTTTGCTGCCCAACGTCCCCAAGGGTTCTTGCAGTCCGACAGTCCAGCGTTCCTGCGGGCCCTGCTCCATGCAGTTCGTGCAGCCCTGACAGCTTCTGAGAAGACATTGCGTGGGAAAGGATATGAATGAAGGCTTTCCAGTACGTTGAACTCGCAGGGTTGCAGACGCCGTCAATGTCCCAAAAAAGCCCACTCCCAGGTAGACCGGTACATGCAAAGGGCATGTCGGCAAGGATGTCGCAAGGATGAACGAAAAGGAGATAGACGGGCCTGACGAGTGGGCCAATGTTCGGGGGCTTAATTCGCCCCTCTGAGCTTGGGACAAGGAGACAGAGCGAGAGAGAGAGAGAGAGAGAGACAGAGAGAGACAGGGAGAGGGAGAGGGAGAGGGAGAGGGAGAGAGAGAGAGAGAGAGAGAGAGGGAGAGCGGGAGAGAGAGGAGAGAGTCTGAGAGAGTGAAATATCGTCGACACAGGTAAAGCGCTTGATCGTAGATGAGCTTTCCCGTTCCTCAGTCTTTTAGGCGACTCCTCGAAAGTACCCCCCCCACCCCAAATAAGCCATAGTTCTGCCGTAACTAGCAGCGGAGTATGATTTGATGATCAAATCTGCAGGGGTAGAGAATAGGGGCCTGCAGGGTTCGCAGGTTTGGGTTGATGCTTGTTCCGAGTTCCAGGGGAGTTTAGTCTTGAGGGATTCAGTGTCTAATTTTGGCCAGCCCATTGAATAGCAAACCGAACAACAGGTGTCCTTCGTGAAATTGTCATGATGCAGATGGGCGATGAAATCTACGTACCGTGGCCGTTGTGTCTGACGACTTGCCTGCCGATGATCTTGTACTCCTCTGTGAACGTGCTCGGCTGCGACAACGGCTCTTGCCAGGAATCTGCGCAGCTGGTAGGGTTTTATTCGACACTCCAGTACATCCTGGCCGACGCAGTGGGCTGGGGACTCAACATCTTGCTGACATTCCCACTTACCTATCCAGTCATGCTCCGGATCCTGAAATGTCTTCTGGCCTTCGGCGATGGTCCAGTACGGCACTGCACAGGTCCTGGCATATCAATACACCTATATGTGTGGCGGCTTGATCTGGGGCTCTTGGATTCCTGCTGTGGAGGACTCCTCCCCAATGCAGCTTACATTTTTCCTCCTGGTCATACTTTGCTTGGTCATCCAATGCATCTGCCTGTTTAACAGATGGGAAAGGCAAGGCCACGAAAACCTGGCATCGTGTCGCTGTGTCAGAAGACAAGTCGCGACATATGAGGCTGCTTGGCAGTGCAGTGAGCGGTGCTGGGTTGAGGCACAAGGGTAATAAGTCTTTCCCCTGCTAGAAGTTAGACAAGTAAGGCAATGGGCACGGAAGGTGGATTGCCCTGGGGCTCTGTCGTGGAATCTCCTGACTGAGCCAGCGGCGGGCTAGGCGACCATGAAAAGAGTGCTTGGGATTTGCCGCTGATGTGAAGCCGAAGATGTTGGAGTGGAGGTCATAGCTGTCCCGGAGCCCTGAAAAGGTATCCAATAGGTTTCTTACTAAACCTCGCATGACCCCCCTCAGTCCTGATTGTTATGGACTGTGAAGGGGTACCGTAGTTCCTTTGCCGTTATCCTTGCCGGAGTCGTCGACAACATGTTCCGAGAAGTGCAAGCATCATGGTGCAGGGACGGATGCTGGGCTGTGCCGAAGTGAGAACAGCAGATCGAGTAAAGGGCCTCCCTCGACCGGAACAGATTCTGAAACAAGCCAACAAAGGACCCAAAATCCTGAAGCCCTGACACTCCAAGGCCGTAAAAATGTAAGGTCCTGAACCCTGAAACCCTGAACCACCGCCAGGTCTTGGAAGTGGTCGAGCGAGGTCAACGTCCAGACAAGGCTCTTGGCTTCTTGGGCCGGATGTTCTTAGGCTTAGGTCTGGGTGCCATGCAGGCGTTGCCGTCGTAAATGCAGGTTTACGCATAGAGATTTCTGTTTTGATCTCCCCGGAGTCGAGTTTTAGGTTAAGTTGCTGTTTGTTCTTGTCTGAGTCTGGAGCTATGACTGCATTTGGGCCGTTCGGCAGAGCTCCAGGTTGCCCGCAGATGAGGGGCAGCCGACGTCGCAGCTAAACATCCGTCAATGTCGCTTCGGCATTTGAGTCATTTCTAGAAGCCTGAAGGTGAGGCCTCTACATTACCCCAAGCTCCGAGCCCTGAACCCACGGCACAGAGCTCATAGCATCCTCGGTCCTCTTCAAATTACAGCGGAGGTGCAGGCCCTTGACCCGCTGGCTATGGAGATGCTCGAGGAGGCTTGTTCTGTGGTGGGCGCGGGGGAAGGGTGCGGGGGCGTTACGAGTTTTCGAGGGTTTAGGGTTTAGGGCCGTTTAGGGTGTCTGGGGCTTTAGGAGGTGTGCTTGAAGGATCAGTGTTTGTTCCCTCGGGGTTTAGGGCTTCAGGTCTGTGCGGCCAACTTTCAGACATTTCGTTTTTTCTGGCGCTTTAGGAGCTAGCGCAATTAGGGTGCAGGGCGCAGGGTTTGGATGCGTGTTTTCTGGTGGGGGGCTTTCGGCGGGTTGACGATTCGTGCCGCTGGAAGGTTGGCTTCGTGAACGTAATTTGTGTTTGTTCTCAGGGTTCAGGGATGATCCGAACTCTCTTCCACAAGAGGCTGCAAACTTGAAGCTCCCATTGCTCTCACGGCCAAACCCGAAGAATCTCTGCCAACAAAGGGCTGCCCAACAAATTTTGTCCGAACCCTGGATCATTGCTGTACTTTGTAATTCCCAAAATCAAATTTCAAGCTCCGTCGTCTGCAGCTTCGCAAGTCATCTCCGAAGACGCGACTTTCAAGACCTAGGAGCCCTCAGACCCCAACATTGACCACCTGCACTTCAAAGCGTCATCTGCACCTTCATCCTAGATTCGGAACCCTGATCCTTCCCAAGCTTCAGCCTCACAAGCAAAAACTTGACCAGGCTTGCAGTAGGGTTCGGTTTCAATAATAACCAGAGGCCAAGGGGCATGGGCGCGAGAACGTGATCGCGGCCGGCTTAGAATACCGACGGTTGTGGGTAGCGACTGGTGGATGCTGGGGGGCTCGGTTTAGGGGGTGGGGGTTTTGAGGGTTTCTGGCTGTTGTCCCCAGGCTTGATGGCGAAAGGTTGAATAGTCTGTCCGTTGAGCTACTTTGGGATTATGTTTTGTTCCTAAACTGTGAAGACCAGTTCAACCGGTGCTCCGGCTTGGGCCTCAACTCACTAGCCTTTTGCTCACAGATAAAAACTTCTTGCCGGATCATCTCGACCTTCAGCCGGGTTTCGAGCCCACATGCCTACACCCCGGGTTCGAAAGCCTGGAGCTCGGGAATTATTGTTGCAACGCCCACGGCCCAGGCTCCGTACCTGGAGGAATTGAAGCGTGAGCATGGGCCCATCACTCAGGGCCCTGCTACTTCCTTGCCTCTGGGTGCTAGCTTGCTGCTGGTTTTCATTCAGGCTCTCGGTTTGTTAAATTAAATCAGACGGCAACTCACGATTGCAAGACCCTCCCTTCCAGTATTGTGATCATCTGTCAGAACTCATTACAGAGTTACACAAGCCATTTCAGAACACATTGCCTTCATAAACTTGGAAATTCCAGAACGTTCGTTGCATTGGCATTAGGATTGTGGGTAGATCTCACACAACGAGCCTGATAAGGCGACAAGCAGATGCAGCCAGTGTCTCTAGATCTTGGCGATGAACACGCGATTGTTCGAAGGTTTTTCGTACAGCTCTGAGGGAATCCACCTCCTAAGTCCCATGGACTTTGCATAAGTAAAAGCGTGTCTGCTTCCTTGCATGGTGAATTCGACTGTTGGGAGTTGGGTGTATCGAGTTGGGCAGCTTCCGGTTTCGAAGCTGTGAGTTCAGCCCCTGCTGTTTTGACGCGATCGTGATGAAGTAGCTAGCTGTGCACTGGATTAGGGCGTAGGGTCCTCGAGCTTCCTCGAGCTCTGATACCTAAACTCACTACAGCTAGCACCTGCGACCTAGACCTCCCTGATACCGGACTTCCTGTGAAAGCAATAAAAAAAAGGACCACCCCCAAGCCCACAAGCCACCACCCGGGCAAAGCATCCGTAAACCTGGCTGTTCACCTTGAGGCTCTCCACTCCCAAGCCTGTGGAAATGCCCGACGAGCTCATAGCCATCGCCCGAGAGAGACGGTCTTGGGGGTCTGGGTGTTGATAGCCTTAGGGATCAGGTCGTAGGATTCCGCGGTTGCTTCGTGTCAGGATGCCGAGTTCAGGAATTAGGGTATGTAGGGTTTAGCCTAGGCTTGGGCTTACGGCAAAGGAGGATGGCGTAGGTTTGCCGGTGAATGCCTTAGCTGCCTTAGCTTCGAAGTACAGAGCTGTGAGCCTTCAACCCCAGAACCCTCGAACTTACGGTGTACAATTCTAGAGCCAACTCAAGATTCACATTGACTATCCTGTATGCTTGACCCCGGAATCACTTTGAAACTAAACTAAAAGCCTAAACCTCTGTGGCACCAGACTGGCATTCCAACCGCCTGCAATCCGAAGCCTTCAACCCTAGTCGCAGGAAATGCAATCCGCCAAAAGATGAAGAAGTGTATGACTT